TGTGAGTTCATTGGGGAATGAGGATGAGGAGGAGGAGGAGGAGGAAGGCTTTGGCAAAGACCACAGTGGCGTGTTTGGAAGGAAAGGCTCAGTGCGATGCCTGGGGCTGTCTGTCAGTTCCAGGGAGGCCAGAGGGAAGGGGTGAGGTCCTCACTGCCATGTGTGTGTGGGCCTCTTCTCTGGGTTCAGGTTCCTCAGCTGCAAAATAAGGGAATATATTCCTCAGGCCTGTTGTGAGGGTAGAAACAGCTAAGCCAGTGAAATGCCCAGAACAGTGACTGCTCTCATCCTGTAGGGTTCCGGGCTTCTAGATGGAGTTTCTCCTTGCCCGCTCCAGAAATCATAGGTGGGACAGGTGAGGATCGTCCTTCCGTGTGTGTGTGTGTGTGTGTGTGTGTGTGTGTGAGAGAGAGAGAGAGAGAGAGAGAGAGAGAGCTTTCTCTTCTGAGGGCAGGCATGTACTCTCTCTGAGGTGCCCCTGGATGCACCCAGACCCCGGAGAGGGCTGGAGGCTTGTGGAGGGGTGCCTTATGGAGGGTGAAGGCACTGCTGGGTGGGGGGCATCCCTGCGGGCCAGGGAGGGACAAGGCCTGGAAGAAGCATTGGTCGCGGGTCTGACACTCAGCCAGGCCCCGGCCATTTGAGTCAAGACCACTGACGACCCTATCCCGGTGGGAGGAAAGCTGCAGCCGGTTGAGGTCTTTTAAAAGAATATTCTGTAGATCAAACAAGAAATGGGCATCAAGGCCCTTTGTAATAAAAGCAAAATTCAGGACAGCGATGGTGAAGGGAAAAACCCTATGTCATCTCTGCTAGGATGGGAAAGGGGGTGCCTGGGACTTTGGGGAATTGCTCCTGAGGCAGGGGCGAGCCTCCAACGGGAGGAGTCCTCAGGGCTCCAGTCCTGCCCTGGGATGGGCAGGTGATGGATGTGGGGGTGTGGGCTGCCCAGGCCTTAGCCCCAGCTCAGGCTGCGGAAGCTGTAGGCTTGGGCCCCCAGGAGCCGGGCCAACAGATGGAGCAAGAAGAACAAGGGCCTGGGGAGGAGGAGGCAGCGGGTCCAGGGAGCACCCTGTGTCCTGTCCCAGAAGCTTGGCTCTTCCACCCAGGAGGTGCAGGGAGAAGGGGGCACTTTGTCCAAACCAGAGTCCCAGAAGCTGCAGGTCCCACCTGCCTGCCGGACAAACTGCGCTCGGGTCCCCACCCAAGGCCACACAGCCTTCAGCTCCCTCTGCAGGCGGGCGGGGGCGGGGGGGGGGGAGCCACCAGGTGTGCTGTCTGCCGGGAAGCCAGGCCTCTGGAGGGGCCCACCCCCAAGTGCCTCTGAGCTCGGGGTTCCCCATGGGCTTTGGCAGCTGCCAGAACCAATTCCAGAAGTGCTCCCCGCCCCCCCCCCCCCACAGATGCCCACTGTGGAGACACAGTGGTTGGGGGAACTTTGAGGGGCTCCCCAGGCTCAAAGATGACCACGGGCCCAAGATCAAGACCCACAGCCGGGCGATGCTTACTGTTGAAAGAGAAGCTCCCTTTGTTCCGGCGTTTTACCAAGTGAAGAGCAAAACCAAATCCTTTCTGGTCCAGTTTTTGCTGGCCCTGAAGCAGCCAGCCCAGCTCCTGGGACCCTGTGCCCTGTGCCAGCTCCAGTCGCCCTTCCGTTTGACAGGGGCTGGCGATGGCCTCTGGAGGCCGGACATTGGGCTGGAGAAGGTTCTCAGGCACCGAACGAGGGTCTGCAGGCCTCTGAGCGCCACTCCCACCCCTGCCGCTGCCCTGCTCTCCGGAGCGGCTTGTCCTCGGAAGTGACCCCAGTGGATGGGATCGGCACTTGTGGTGGCCCAGGCGGGGCTTTCCATTCCATTAACTCACCACCAGCACCTCATCTCCGCATTGCCCGTCCTCCCACCTTTCTGCGCGCCCCCCCCCCCCCGCCCCCGCCCAGGGCTTTTGAAGTCCCGAGAATTTCAATCCCAGTGGAGCCACCGGGACCTAAGCTGTCACCCAGTGGGGAGGGACAGCAGGCCAGGTCGTGGGCAGGGGTCCCCCCCCCCCCCCCCCCCCCCGGCCCGGGGAGGTGAGAAGCGTTGGGGGCTGGGCCAGCCCACCTCAGGCTGCTATCTGCAACACTCCACTATGGATTTACCTTCCTTCAGGGTCTGTGTTGGGAAAAGCCTTCAGTTCACTGATAACCACGCTATGAAACTACCCCAAGCCCCCCCCCCCCGCCCCCAAAAAAAGTCCTCAGAAAGTGTTTGCCCCTCCTGCCCCTCCCCCATGTTCTTTTCCTCCAGCTAAAAGCCCAGCGCTCCTCCTCAGGATGCTGGGGGAAGTGACTTTTGGTCAAAATGCCCCCTCCTGTGCGGGCTGGCCACAGGCCCCTAAGGACCCGGAAACGGAGGCTGCTGGAAAGGGGAGGGCGGGAGTGGGGGTGGGCGGGATGGAAGTGGGGCTGGGGGGCTGGTCCCTGAAGCTTCACATCCGAGTCCGGAGGAGGCAGCCGCCTCCCCAGAGAGGCTGTGTCTTGCCTGCAGCCCCCTTCCTTTCCGTGGCCAGCCCCTCAGCGGGCCGGCCGCCGGAGAAGATGCCAGTGACACCTCTTGATCTCTCAATCCCCCCTTTCATGTGGCGGGGAAGCCCCAGCCGAGGATCAAACGCACAGCCTCCCGCCGAGTGCAAAACGGGGGAGGGGGCCCAGTCCTTCTGAGGGCGCCCCGCCCAGGGGAGCTCCGTGGGGGGCTCTGCGAGGAAGAGGAGGAGGAGGAGGAGGAGGAGGAGGAGGAGGAGGAGGAGAAGGAGGAGGGCTCCAGGCGAAGGAGGGGGTGGGCCCCCAGGCCCAGGCTAGGGGCGGCACCCCAGGGTGGACAGCGCGCCGCTCCCGCACATGCTGGGGCCTGGCGGGGACGGAAAGGGGAGAGAGCGAGCAGATGGTCCCCAGGCGCTGGCTGCTGGCTGGGAGGGGAGGGGAGGAGAGGGGAGCGGAGGGAATGGAAGGGAAGGGGAGGGCGGGACAGAACCCTCACATCCACCGCAGCAAAAGGCTGGGGGATCTGGTCTCTCTGCTCCCAGCCACTCCTCTCACCTTGTAAACACCCCCAGGATTTGGGGGTGGAGGGCTCAGGGGATGGCGGCCTTGGGAGTCCCAGGGGGGATGTCAGTGCGGACAATATCCCCAAATCTCTCCCCAGTAACGGGCAGCATGAATAAGGGGGAGAAGTGGGAGCGGGAGGAGAATGGTCTTATCGAAGCCCTGCTCCTGCCACCTCCCCCGCTGGCCACAGACAGGAAGACTGAGGCCGGGAGACAGAGGGTTGGGAGGGGGAGAGAGGAAAAGAAACGGGGGGGAGGAGGAGGAGGCGAGAAAAGCAGGCGAGAATAGACAGACAAAAAGATCAGACCAGGCCCTTTCTTTCCGATCCCGGAACAGGGGCGTTGTCTCCAGCGAGGAGGGGCAGCCTCGGTGGCTCAGGCTGGGAGGGCTGAGGGTGAAGGAAGGAGCTGGGGGCAGGCCTCGCCCTGGGGGGAAGGGGGACGCAGCTCACCGGCCTGGCCTGACAGCTGGCTCAGAGCGGGCACCAGTCCCCAAAGGCCCTGGCGGCCCTGCCATGGGAGAGCCGGGCAGGGACTGCAGTGGTTACTCCCAAAGATGCCAAATACACCCCCCCCCCCCAGCTCTGCGTGGGGCCCTTCGGTCCTCAGATTCCCAAGGGCGCCCAGTCACTGGCCACTCACTCCTTCTGGGCATTTTTGGTGACGTCCCTCTCAGGGCCAAAGGCAGGGGCGGAGGGAACCCTGGGAGTGAGACCTCTGCGAACCCCAATACCTCCGCCCCTGCACTCTGCACCCCCCCCCCCCCCCAGTGCCTGCTCACAGCGGGGCCTCTGGCGCGGCCGCTGCAGGGCCCGCAGCAGGCGACGCCTCTTCGCTTGAAAAACCTGTTTTGGGGGGAATTCGTTGACGCTGGATGAAGAGCTTAACATACGGGCAAGAAAAGGCCACTCTCAGAACGACTCCCCACCCTACATACCTGAAGTGCGGGCGAGGCCCAAGCCAGTGGGAAGGCGATTCCTTCTAGAACAGGCGCGCCTGGAGGTCCAGCCGGGCAGTGGAAACCTTTAGGCCACCTAGAAGGGGAGGGGGAAAGAAAATAATAATAATAATAAGCAAACCCTGTGGGTCAGCAGCCAAGGCGGGTTTTTAAAGAAAAAAAGTTAAGACACGTATCTCTAGCCCGTGGGGAAGAACAACAGCCACGGTGGGTCCCAGGAGGAGGCAGGTGGCTGGGGGAGGGGTTGGGGGAGGAAGAGAGGAGAGGATGGGTACCCCAGGTTCAAGCTCCCCAGGCAGCCCGGGGAGGGGCGGACTAGGATGTCCCGTCTGTCGCTTCCAAAAAGCCTCTGGAGCCGCAGAGGTTGGTTCCCAAGGCTGGGCGGTGACAATCACGCCCGGAGCAGCGAGCCTGGTGACTCGGCCTAAAACAGGGGTATGGGTTCTCTTGTCTGTGTCCGAGCAAGGCACCAAGCTAAGAAAACCAAAGCCGAGTCAACGATAAAAAAAAAAAAAAAAATCAAACGCGTATCCCATTCCGGATCCGCAGTCCTGCGGGCCGGGAGGCAGGCACGCAGCGGCGGGTTGGCCGCGGCCCCCGTGTGCCGCCTCCGCCCGGGTCCCCGCTCTGCGCGCCGCTCCGCTCACACCCTCCGCCCCGCGCGGCGCGGCCACACCTGGCGCATCACCGCCGACCATTAGCGCGGCGCTTTCATCTCGGCGGCGGCGGCCCGGCTATTTATCCCCGCGCTCCCGGTGGCGTCACGGCGGTACTGTAATGACGCCCGCGGCGGCGGGATGACAGCTTAGAAGACGGGGGCCATGGGGCTCCCTCCCAGAGGCGGCGCGGCGCAGAGGAGCGGGCGCATCACAAGGTGACCCCGCTCCCCGCTCCCCGCGCCGCCCGCGCCCGGCCCGCCGCCGGCTCCTTCTCCCCCCGCAGCCCGATCGGCCGGACCCTCCGGGGACCCGAGGAGCCGGGGGCTCGGAGCTCGCGCGGGGCTCCCCCCTCCCTCCGGAGGTGTCTGGGATGGAGAGCCGGAAGGACATGGTTATGTTTTTGGACGGGGGGCAGCTTGGCGCGCTGGTGGGCAAGAGGGTCTCCGGCTTGTCCGAAGCCGCGGGCGGCGCGCTGCCGGAGCCGCCCGAGAAGACGGGGCCCCGCGGCTGCCGGAGCCCCCGGGCCGGGCCCGCGGCCTCCCGGGAGCGCGGCGGGGCAGGCCCGGAGGAGGAGCCGGCGGACGGGCCGGCGGGAGGCGCGGCGGGGCCGGGCGCCGAGCCGCGGGCGGCGGGGGCAGCGGGGGCGGCCGCGCTCGGCCCCGGGCCGCCGGCCCCCTCCGCCGCCGACAGCATCTCGGGCCCGGGGCAGCCCAGCAGCTCGGACACGGAGTCGGATTTCTATGAAGAAATCGAGGTGAGCTGCACCCCGGACTGCGCCACGGGGAGCGCCGAGTACCAGCTCAGCAAAGGTAGCCACCGCCCCCTCCCCGGCCTCCCGCCGCGCCCACCTTCCCCTCAGTCCTGCGGGGAAGCGAGGGGCTCCCTCTCCCCGGGCTGGGTGGCGGGGACCCCTGGAGCCATGCGCCCCTGCTCTCTGCGCCCCCGGGGGGTCTCCCTCTGCGCTCTGGCTTTGGCGGGACTGAGGGTGACAGCTCCGCTCTGGGGGTGGGGGAGGAGGGAGACGAAAGCCCTGGGCTTGAGGGGGATGTGAAAGGCACCCCAACCCCCCAGAGTTTTGTGGTTCTGCTTCAACTGCCTCTGGGAGATACCTTCCCCGGGCTGAGGGAGATCAAACGCGGGCCCGGCGGTTGGGGGCTGGCGGGGTGTAAGGCGCATCCCGGCGCGGAAGCGGGGAGTCCATAAAAAACCGTAAAATCCAGGCTGGCCCGGGCCGCCTGGTGCTGGGGCCCTCCGACCAGTTTGCACGTCGGTCAGAGGTCCGAATTACCTTGTCACTTCCCTGGCTCGGTGGCGCCAGGTCGGAAATGGTCCCAATGATCTAATTGCCTTTGGTCTCCGGTTGCATTTGAAAAGGCAGCGCTCCGGCCCGCCCCCTCCCCCTGGCCTTCCCCGTCCCGCTGCTCCACCCCAAGGAAAGGGAGCTGCAGGGGGCCGCGGCCCCACCCTCCCCTGGGCTAGGCCCAAAGCAGGGGGCTGTCACTTGAATTGGAGACCCCCTCCCTGACCAGGGTCTAGTGTGTGTGTGGGGGGGGGGGGAGGAGCGGGGTGATCAGCCGGGAGGGAGTCTCCCTGAGAGGGTGGCAAGCTGGAGCGCCCACCGGCAGACTCCCCACAAGCTGCTGCGGGGGAAGAGCCTGCTACAGAAGGAAACCACCCTGGCCTTGGCGCCAGCTCCTGGTAGAGCACCACATTCACCCATCCGACCTCCCCGGGCTCCCACCACACATGGCCTCAGAACAGCCCTACTCCCTCAGCCACCCTCAGGTGCCAGGGCATCGAACACACTCCCATGCCATCCGTGCAACACATGCTGCACACAAAAGCGAGAGGCCAGTCCGTGCCCAGCATCCCACAATGCACTCGGACCGGAGCCCACAGTGTTCCAGCGGAGGATGCATGTCAGCCCACTTGCCCGCCAGACGCGCACAGCCAGCCCGCTGCTGGCAATGGCAAGCTGAGCATCTCCTCTGTGCCCGGCGCAGGTGCCTGGAGGGGCGGGGGGACGGGGTCTGGGCTGGTACCGCAGGCCATTCAGGCCCAGGCCGCTACATGCTCCTCTGAATGGTGAGCCCCGTCCTCCCTTTCTGGTCCTCGAAGCCCCCAGCTCCCCGGCAGAAGCGGTTACTGAGGGGGTGGGGGGTTACCTCTGCACCCGAATCCACAGCCCCACATCAGCGGCCTTTCTGTCTGTTGTGTTGCGCTTGCCCTCGGCTCTGGGCTCCCTGCAGGGCCGGGCTCGGAGGCGCTGACCGGCAGCCCCAGCGGCGGCGGAGAGGCCCCCAAGAGCGGCGGCGGCGGCGGGGGCTCGCAGGGCGGCCTGGCCTGCAGCGCCAGCGACCAGATGCGCCGCTACCGCACCGCCTTCACCCGCGAGCAGATCGCGCGGCTGGAGAAGGAGTTCTACCGGGAGAACTACGTGTCCAGGCCGCGGAGGTGCGAGCTGGCGGCCGCCCTGAACCTGCCCGAAACCACCATCAAGGTATGCGCTCCGGGCCGGGAGAGGGGCGCCCTCCGCAGGAGGCAGCACCCTGCCCGGGCCGGGTGTGCGGGGCCGGAACCCGGTCTGCGGCTGCGGGGCCAGGCCTGGTGCGGCGCCTGGGGCAGCTTTACCTCCCACAGTCCCGGGGCGGCCCCGCTGCCAGCGGTCTGCTCTGTCCCTTCCGAGCCCAGTGCACAGCGGGTGGGTGCCTGCGAGTGACAGGGAGAGCGACTGGGAGGGGGTGCCCCAGGCCCGGGGAGTCCCTAGTCCCCCACAGCGCACTGGGCTGGGTTCAGGCAGCCGGGGAGGGGGCAGGGCAGGCCTGGGGTCTCTCTGAGCCCCTCCTGGGGTGCTCCAGCTCCGGGGGCGGCGGTGGGGGCCTCTGCACCCCCGGCTGCGGGGCCCCCAGCTGCGCCTCTGCCCGCAGGTGTGGTTCCAGAACCGCCGCATGAAGGACAAGCGGCAGCGGCTGGCCATGACGTGGCCGCACCCGGCCGACCCCGCCTTCTACACGTACATGATGAGCCACGCGGCGGCCGCGGGCGGCCTGCCCTACCCCTTCCCATCGCACCTGCCGCTGCCCTACTACCCGCCCGTGGGCCTGGGCGCCTCGGCCCCCGCCTCGCCCTTCGGCGGCCCGCTGCGTCCGCTCGACACGTTCCGTGTGCTGTCGCCGCCCTACCCGCGGCCCGAACTGCTGTGCGCGCTGCGCCACCCGCCGCTCTACCCGCCCGCGCACGGCCTGGGCGCCGCGGCCGGGCCCTGCTCCTGCCTCGCCTGCCACGGCGGCCCCGCCAACGGGCTGGCGCCCCGCGCCGCCGCCGCCGCCTCGGACTTCACCTGTGCCTCGTCCCGCTCGGACTCCTTCCTCTCCTTCGCGCCCTCCGTGCTCAGCAAAGCGTCCTCCGTGGCGCTGGACCAGAGGGAGGAGGTGCCCCTGACCAGATAAGGGGCTGCCCGCGGGCTGCGGCTCCAGGACGCCCCGTGGAGGGGCCCCGGGGACTCAGCCAGCACCTCTCCCGCCCCCGGGCGCCGAGGGGAAGGAAGGGGCCCCGAAAAGCACCAACAGGACTCCGCCTGGAGGATGGGACTGCCGGAAGCCGCCTCGGATGGCCCGTTGGGGCAGCAGAATGGGACTGGGGGAGGGGGCGGCAGAGGCTGAGGACCTTCCTCTGGGGCGCCCCTCTTTGCCATTCATCATCGGACCCACTGCCCCTAACCCGGGTGGAGGCCTTGGCTCCAAAGCTAAACCAACTTAGCAGCAAGAGCAACCCTCAGCCCCCCCCCCCCCCAGCTCCCCTCACACCCTTCCTCCCCTCACCAGGGACACCCCACCCCCCAAGTCAAGCGCAAGCACTGGAAGGGGAATAGCTGTCTCTAAACAAAACGCTGTGTCCTGGCCAGCTTTCCCGGCGTGGCAAGGGTGGTGGATGGCCATGCACCAGCCATGGAGGGGAGTGAGAGAGGCTGTGCTGCCTCCAGAAGCCTGGCCCTCCATGGCCCTGGGCACTCGCTGGCACCACGGCTTCTGGTCCTGCCATTTCCTAGCACCTGATCTCTCCTCACTCCGAGCTTCTGGATGGCTCTCAACTCGCAACTCCGTCTCCAACCCCCACCCGCCACCACCCGCAGCACTTTCTGTTCTAAGGCTGGTAGGGAGGCTGCAGACACCCCCACCCCCACCCCAGGAGCCCTTGGCCAGGCACATGCTGATCAGTGAGTGATGTGTGAGGAGGGTTTTGAATGTTGAATGTATAATGATGATCGCCACGCAGCCGGCCAGAGCTGGGCTGTTAACAAGGCGCAGGGAAGAGCTTAGGGAGCGAGCCTCACCCCCCTCCCTCGGTATCTGGAGGCAAATTAGAGGCGATTTCCAGCCTCTGCCGGCACCAGGAGCTCTCCGGCCCGCCCCTTTGTGTGTGGCTTTTTACATCATCCTTCCTCTCGTCCTCCCCAGGTGCCACTGGAGCCCGACTTCCAGATAACTAGAGGGAGCTCCTGCCCATGCGGGCACCTGTCCTTCCCCTTCCCCGGGGTCTGCGTGGCGCCACCCCCAAACGCTCACCCCCACACTCATTCCTGCAGTCGGTGTGTGAGGACCAGGAGATCGGTGACCCCCATGCAAGCTCTGCTCCGGCTGGAGGCAGGGGCTCCTTCGGTTTGGTTTTCCTTTGAAGCCCAAAGAGTTCGCTGTTACAATTTGTTGACCACATCGCAATAAAAGCCGGACATGGTTCTCACGTTAGCATTTTAGTCTTTTTGGCAGCTGGCAGTGGCTTGACTGCTTTGGAACTGCCATTCAGCCACTCCAGGCTTGGGCAGGGAAGGAACCAAGAGCTGGAGCCACAGACAGAGCCCCTCACATCTCTGCTGGCATGGGCCGGCTCCTCACGGGCATGGCACTGGGCATGGCTCAGAGGCGGAGAAGGCAGGCTCCACACTGGCCCGGAGTGCGTGTTCCCTTATTCTGTGCGTGGCGGGAGCCTTCCGGGGTGAACCTGGCAGAGCACTGTGCTCCCCCCTGAGATGCTTCCTTCTCCGCTTGCTCCAACCCTTTGAGGAAAGGCGACTCTGGGCTGTGGTTTCCTGGCCCTTTTGCCTACCAAGTAGAAATGAATGAGGCAGGGGGTGTGGAACTGGGTCTGGACATTAGGGGTCAGGAGATAAGGGATGGAAGGGTCTGAACCATCCTCAAACAGACAGTCATCTCCAAGGATGGATTTCTGGGCTGTCAGGGCCAGACTCAGCAGCCACCTCACTCCTATCCTCTGTCACCACGGAAGGGCCACGTGGCTGCTTCTCAAGTCCGGCTCCAGCAGGCGGGGTCCTCCATGGGGGTACCCATGGCAGGTGTGGGCGCCTCCATTGGCCTTCATCCTCCTCTGAGGCCCAGAGCAAACCTTTCTGCCCACAGTATGCCTGCCCTCCCCAGCACCGCCCTGCGCTGAGATTACCACAGCCTCCTCGCCCCGCCCGCCCCGCCCCGCCCCTGCCAGCTCCCGCAGCCGGGCCTGGAGGCTCCCGGTGCCAAATCCCGGCAAATCCCACGGTTACTTCGAGTTGCGCCAAGAGATTGCTTGCGACAGGTAAATGGGCTGTGGGTTGCCGTAATGCCAGGCGTATTTTCAGTTAATAGGGAGGGAAAATGAGGTGTCTGCAGCGATATTGGAAAGTACAAGATCGATGATCCGGCCTCGTGTCCAATCAGCAGCCTTTAATTGACTGTATTTTCTGGGTAATTGAGCCTCTCTTCCTCCAAATTGAAGCGGAAGATGTAACAATACATCTTGCCAGGAGGAATTACTCATTACTTCATAATGAAAGTTCCCTTTTGCCAAGGTTTGCGGTTTGGCCCTGGGCACCGCTTCTCCCACCCCCTCCCCCACCCGTGCACCTGAGAACAGGTTTGCCCGCCTGCAGCTGCGGCCACAAGTGGCCTGAGACCGCCCTGGGGGGAGGCGGAAGCAGAGGTAACCATGAATAAGACACCGCCCCTCCACAGCGCAGCCACTTCACCCGGAAAATGGTGTTATCCTTACCATTTTTCAATATTCTAAACGCCTCTATTTAGCTTTGCCCCACTTCCGTCCCATTTTGCAGGTGGGAAAACAGAGGCTCCTGATGAGTGAGTGGCCCGTTCAGCTTTGAATTTCACGCTCCGGCTTCCTCTCCCTTGTCCTGAGCCGCTTTGGGGCCCACAGGCCACGGTCACCCCTCACCAAGCCTGACACCTCACTTCCCACTCCCACTCCCTGGGCGCCTCAGCCCGGTGGGACCAGCAGGGCCGGCCAGGCTGGCCAAGACCCGCGCTCCATCTTGGCCAGCCTGGCCGGCCGCCCCGCAGCCCCGTGTGGTGCGTGCTCAGCGCTGGCCGTCGCTCGCTTGTTAGCGGGTGATTGATTGCCTTATTAAAGCGTGTTCTTGTAAGTGTGACCAAACTGATTGCATTGCATATGTTTGGGATAATGCTCATTTTAAACAACAGGATGGGAGGATGAGCTCAGCAGACGAAATGATTCTGGCCAGCAGCTCCCTAACTCTGGCATTAAATTGCCCAGTTACATAGCAAATCACTTGGTTCCTCCAACCCGGTCCCCATTTTTTACTTCCCTGGCCTGCGGTTTGACCAAGTCCCTCAATGTGGTGTGCCCGGCTTCCCTGGTGACCACAGGGGCCCTGTCTTCCCAGCCGAGAACCCCCGCACCCCGCAGCCCAGACACCCAGTCCCCTGCCCGCATCCCAGCAGAGGGAAGAGGGGCTCAGGACCCACCCTTTCGCCCTAGGCCTCCTGGGAACGTGGCCCTAGGCGTCCTTGCAAATGGGAGCCTAGTCCCCTCAGCAAATCGCACATCTCTCAGTTCCTCCTCCCCGCCTTCCCCCCAACCTGTCCCTAAAGTGCAAAAGACCCTTTTGTTTCCCAGGCTTCTCCGTTCGCTCACTCGGTTGCTTCCATTATTCCTCCACCCAGGAACTCCGCCACCATATGTCCGCCTAGGAGCGTGGGTGTCACAGCGGACAGTTGTGGGGGTGGCCAGACGGGTGGCACTCTCCTAGCCGGAGAGTTTTCTTAGCGCCCTCTCTGTTCACATGGCCCCCGAGCGAGAGAGGAAGGGTAGGGTTCTGCGTGGTGGGGAGGGAAGGAAGGTTGGGGCAAAATATTGGGATTTTTTGCCGAGACCGGTTTGACTCAGTGGATAGAGCGTCGGCCTGCGGACTGAAAGGTCCCAGGTTCGATTCTGGTCAAAGGGCATGTACCTTGGTTGCGGGCACATCCCCGTAGGAGGTGTGCAAGAGGCAGCTGATCGGTGACTCTCTCTCATCGATGTTTCTAACTCTCTTTCCCTCTCTTCTTCTCTGTAAAAAAAATCAATAAAATATATATTTTAAAAAATATTGGGATTTCCCCCCTCCCCTCTAATTGCTATCTCCTCAAGCAATCATGGCGCCGGGTCCTCTGTCTGCCTGGCTGGCCTTCACCCGCTCCAGTTGACTTGCAGGGGAGCCGAGCTGCAGGCAGATTGAACTTCCTGAGGGAGCTTTGGGATATGCGGGGATTCTGATTTGTTCAAGCTGATGGCGGTCATCGGGCCTCCCCAGACCCGATGCCCCTCTTTGGGGGTGATCTGCAAGTGCAGTCACACGCATTCGTTGGCCAGCCCCAGCCAGAATGCAGCGACTGGAGAAGCGACTGGCTGTAAACGGCAGGTTTCCTCCAGCACTCAGCTCCTCCTGGGCTCTGCTGGGGCAGGCACCTCAGACCGCACCAGGGCCAAACCAGGGCCCAGCTCACCATTTGGGCCAGCTTGAGAGCCCCCCGAAATGTTGACCCTTAGGGGGGACAAAAAGCCAACCGCAAGACGGGTGCTACCATCTTCAAAGCAAACAGAAACGCAAAGTCGTTTCCAAAATCGCCTTCTCAGCAAATAAGTATGAGCTATTCTGAGCAGGAGCAGGAGAGAGAGAGAGAAAGATTGCCACTTAAAAATAACATGAAAACATTAAGTAATTATTTAAAACAAGGCTGTTTAGAAAAATATTTGTATTTATTGCAGCTGCTCAATTGGCCTCGTTAAAGTCAGCAAGCATTTAAATTGTGTTACAATCTCGTTTAAATCCCCTCCGTTCCAGCAGGCTGAAGAGCTTGAATAGACCAATCACTTCATAATGATGATGAATGAGAAATTAATTCAGATACAAGCAAGACAATTTAGGCCTTCATCTGTTTAAATAGCCTTCCGATATTATTCGCGATCGCGGGTCACAGATTGAATCAATTGTCCAATCTTGTGAAAGTCATATCCTTGCATCTTCATCCAGATTATTTATAGCGCAGCGAGGGCTGCTGAAAGGTATACGCTGTTAACAGGGACAATTACTTAAAGGGAAGCGTTTATAAAATGGAAAACAAATGCCGGGGTTAGAGACAAATGGGATCAAAAGCAGCCATTCCAATGTGGCTCCCCGCCTGACAGACGGGAGCGGGCGCGGCTCCCGCGGGGCGCGGGGCGCTGGGCCTCCCAGGTGAGGCCGGGTCCGCGGGGAGCGCCCGGGCGGCAGCATTGGTCCCAGGCCAGCCTCGACCTCGTGGCCCCGGGTGGAGCAGAAACCGCGGCCAGGCCCCCCGGCGGCAGACGGGGCCCCTCCCGTCTCAGGGCAGCGCCCCAGCAAGCCGCCCCCGCGCGTGGCCCTGGGTGCGGGGTCCCGGCCTCCACCGGGCACAGCCCGGGTCCAAGCGCCGAGGCCATCGGCCCAGAGGTCCGGAGGCCTCGCTGGGCGCAGGGGCGAAGGTTCTGGGAGGTTCCCTGAGGCCCAGCCTCCTCTTAGAACCCCCGCTTCCTTAGGGCGCCTCCCCCCCTCGTGTCT